TTCTAGAATATGTTGTAACACAGAATGTCCTTTACAGCAGTCGATATTTTTGTTAAGAGTAAAGATAGAGGCTTGCTAGATCATTTGCTGGACCCGGAAATCTATCTTCGTTAAGATGTTTATCAAGTTAAGAATCCAGTATGGTTAGGGTAGATTGAACTCACTTTCAATGACTTAAAGAATCGCTCTCCATATTTTAGCGGCTTTGGCGCGGAAAACAACGTGCTTATTCCTGAATACCCTTTATAAACCATTAAAACAACACATGACACGGACGTGTGTAATGCTACACAGGATTCAGTCAACTTAATGGTCACTGAAAAATCTGGAAAGGTTCAGTCACCTTTCAGTAAACTACAAGTCTCCTTTCAGTTAGCTGAATGGCGGAGTTTCATCCTGTACTAATTCATGATTACGGGAACCACTCAGCACTCAGTGATTATGTTTAGCTTTGAATACGTCTGAATACGTCAATATGCGCTGCTACTGTTCCTGTCAAATATAGCATGTATAATTTTAAGACTAAAAACTCTCTTTTTATGTTCTCTGGATCTTTTTTTAAATACTTATACGACTTAAATGTGACATGGTTTTAGTTATATTGCTTTAATATTATTTCCTTTAATTTTGAAACTTTTTATATTTCATTCGAATAGTTAAATCTCGACAAGCAACCCATGCTGGATTTTCACTGTATATTTCAAACACCACTGGTCCTAAAGAGGGATTTCTCTGTTACAAAAACAGTGATACGCTTCCTCCACTTCTCTCACAACATGTGTGTGTACATCATGGACGGTACGTTACATATTTTAATGAGAGGGGAGATGGAGTTGTAGTTCCCCAAGGATCAAGACTAAAGGAAACATCAGCAGATCTCTGTGAAGTGCAAGTGTTTGGTAAGTCATTTGTTCATTGGATTTACATGACAAAATTAGTGAGAAATTTCTTCATATTTATCATACTGCAATGGATTGAAGATTATCTTATACGTAACATTGTGATTAAAAGGTTGTGGTAAAAAAGATGTATATGGGGAAAACTGCGACATACCATGCCCGGTCAACTGTCAGGAAGATAATTGTCACATAAAGACTGGGAATTGTCTAGGCTGCATTGATGGATGGCGAGGACAGCGATGTAGCCAAAGTATGAAATGAAAATCCATTTATTTAAAATTAAACCAATTGAATAATTATTCAAAGAAGTATTCTTTACATTGCTGCAAACAATTTTGAAACCATTCTTCTTTTTATGTCCGGAATTAAGGTTTGTAGTTCTATTATGAACTTAAACTTAATATGTTTTAGTCTATATATCTTTCAATTTGAAGATTAAAATTTACTCAGAAATCGAATAAATACCTAAGATATAAAAATACAATCACAATAATGAAATCAGAAATGTGAAATGATATAAATAATTATCAATTTTCCTTTCATTTAGTATGTTCTCCAGGATATTATGGAGAAAGTTGTGCTGTCCCTTGCAGTAAGCTTTGTAAGACAAACATGTGTGACCACGTGACTGGAGAATGTAATTGTCAATCTGGGTGGGCAGGAACAAATTGTTCGTTGAACGTAACTGGTAATCCAAACTGTAAGAAAATAATATCTTATTTCGTTCTTGAAATACTTTAAATTTTAAAGATACAGTATTCAAGTACTTCTTTTTAAAATCTGTTGTATTCATGCATATCAGAAATAAATCAAATACAGTGACCAGGCAGTATATACAATGTACATCAGGGTGGGAACGGGGCCGGAAAGGATTTATTTCAGGGTTATAAGTTCACATATGACTATAAGAAGTGTTCATTACCTTAGTTATAAAATACAGACAAAATTTAAAAAAATAATAATAAAAGGTTCCAAAGTTAAGTATTTACGAGCATATAATGATTTATAATTTTTTTTTAGTGATCACTTTTGTATCATTAAGCTTTACATTGCAAATTTTGCATTTACCTCCCCCGGAGTAAATTTAAAATTTACAACATGATGCATGTCTCATCATTCTTTGCACCGACCCATCCCAGGGATAAATTTGGTCTGGCCGATAAAACGTGTAAAACAATTTTCCTCAGATACCGATACAAGCAACATGATTGAAGTTGTAAAAATCCCCAATATGGAGAGTCAGATTGGGGTGGTCATTGGTGTCTGTCTGGTAGTGTTCGTCCTCATCGTTTTTCTCATCATCTTCATAATACGGTAGGACTAACACAGGTTTCGAAAATATTTTTACTAGTACCTTATTTTTAAAGTTAAATGCATGAAGATTTTTCCATCAATTTTGAGTGGAAACAGTAGTCTTTGTTGAGATAAATTAAGTTTAGAGTAGTGAATATACTAGTATATCCGTTGTTTAGGACCTTAATAAAGTTGTAAGAAACTAAAATCAAGTCATTTACATGTACATGTTTAATGTTTAGTTTCTATATTGATTAAGTAACTGATCGACGATTTGTGAAGGTTGCACAAAGCATCCATATTATTTTGCGATTAGTGCCATATAGCTGATATACTAGTAGTCAGTATAAGTTAAAATTTATTAGGTCACCTGAGTCACTCAGGTGACCTATTGCTATCTCTTTTCGTCCGTCGTCGTCCGTCGTTCGTAAACTTTTGAATATTTTCAGCTTCTTCTCTGGAACCAGCAAACCAATATCAACTAATTTTGGCATATAGAATCTATTGGTGAAGGGGGACAAAAATTAAGAAATTCGTGTCCCCTCCCCCCCCCCGGGGCCTGAGGGATGGGGCCAAAACCATCAAAATTAATGCAATCTTTAAAAATTTTCTTCTTTACTCCTGGACATCAAGCAGTCAAACTGTTGGCATGATTGTAATAAGCATTGAGCCCTCTACCAAAATTGTGAAATTCATGGCCCCAGGGTCAGGGGTTCTGGTGCTAGGGCGGGGCTATATAGATCATATAGTGAAAGTGCATTATTTCTTTGAAAATCTTCTTCTCTACTCCTGGGTATTATTGAAACAAATTGAATACATATTTATGATAAGCAAGGGTGACTCTACTAAAACTGTGAGATTCATGGCCCCAGGGTCAGGGGTTCTAGTGCTAGGGCGGGGCTATATAGATCATATAGTGAAAGTGCATTATTTCTATGAAAATTTTCTTCTCTTCTCCTGGGTATTATTTAAACAAATACATAGTTACGATAAGCAAAGAGGCCTCTTCCAAATTGTGAATTTCATGACCCCTGGATCTAGGGTTCTGATGTTGGGGGGGGGGGCTCTATTTATTATATAGTGAAAATGCATTAATGCTTGAAAAATCTTCTCTGTACCTGGGCATATCAGAGGCAAAAAGAGTAAAAGTTTTAATAAAGAAGGGTATTTTTACCAGATTTTTGAACATCAGGACCAGTTGGTCAAGCGTTCTGGTCCAGGCCAGGGCTCTATTAATTTGTATTCTACTGAGAGGAGTTATTCCCCTTTGCCATTTACCTGTGATAATTAATCATTGTAAATAATGTACTTGAAAGGTTAACAGAATAAGAGAATTATGCAAGAATTTTTATTGTATAATACAAAAAGTACTTTCGTAGTTTTAATGATCAGGTAGACTTGTAAGTAATAGATAAATAAAAATGAGACAAAAATTACTTGTCTTATTAAATGTTCATCAAGGACCAAAAGAGGCCAATGTAAAAGATTTCAACAAGGAATTAAAAGAGTACAGAAGCAATGATAGTTTGTTTACATATTGTCTGGTGAGAGTGATAAATGAGGAACAGATTAGTACCTAATTTATGAACTGTTAATGAATACTAGACTAATAATTTTGTTGATCCTGATCACCCTATTTTTCTTGCTTTTGGGCAACAAAGCTTCACCTTTCAGTTCATTTTATACTCTATGGATCCTCTAAATTGTTGTATTATACTCAGTTGACCGTTCATCCATATATATATCATTTAAAAGAAATCTGTTCTTTATGAATGTCTCTAAAATGAATGTCTAAACAAAATTTGTAAACCCAACAGAAGGAAATTGCTTATGTCCAAAGACGGCGTGAGTTCTGCGAGAATATTGTTTTCTGTCCAAAGATCCAAACAAGTGGATTATGATGATGCAATAACAGGTAAAAACGACGCGAGTCCCTTGATCAGGGCTTGTAATCTATCATTAAACATACAATTAACTACAGTAACTGCAATACATAAGATCCATTTTACCAAAATCAATAACATCAAAACATACGACTTTGCAACACTTCATACAAGCATTCCCCACGATAATTTAAAGTTAAAAGTTAAAATTCCCTTACTTATGTAGCAACATACCCTTATCACCTTATTTTTCCCAGTTGATTTGTTATGCAAGAGCATGCTCCACCTACGAACAATTTCTAAAACGATGCAAGCTACATGCATTGACAAACAAAGTAATGAAATAAGAATTTCAACAGTCTCGTTTAAAGTCGTCATTTAGCGAGTTCTGCGTTCGATACAATGATCTTATCAGCAAGTTCAATCTATCATTAAGTCGAATGCAGACTGACGTTTTTCATACTACTTGTTAAGTCATTATTTAAACACTGAGCATACGGCTGTTGTGACCAGTCGACAGGGGATGCTTACTTCTCCATGGCACCTGATCTGTTGTTTTAGAGGTCCATGTTTGCTCTCTCCCGATTTGTATTGTTTCATTGGACTTTTGAACTTGAATACTGTTTGTTATCTATTATTTAATTTTATTGATATTACATTTTTATGTATGTAGATAAGAAAGTTTTAAGCGAATTTGATATTAATCTACTGAACATGCTAGAAATTAATTATAATCTGTCAGGAAAAATGGGTTTTGCTATTCGTAAAAATCTAGAGAATCGGAATTTTGTCAAATGAAGAATTTTCTGTCCAGAATAGTTTCCTTATTATACTTGTAATCTCATATTAAGTTTAAGCTATTGATTTTATTTTAAGAAATCTTATTTCTTTCCTTCTATTAACAGAACCTGACTTGTTTATCTATAACAATGCTGTGATAAATGACGTGAATGAGGATGGAGATACGAAAGTCTACGAATATCTTCCTGTGTCCGACTTTTCTAAAAGAATCAAGGTGATGTCAGAGGATGAAAATCTGGCATTCAAAAAAGAGTACATGGTAGATATGTTTTAAACATTGTAGATTGTATTGTTTGAACATAAATCGTTTGCATGGGTATATTGCATGGGTATATTTTTATTTTTATTTTTTTTTTTTACAAACTTACAAACGAAAATATAGAATGATAAGGCTCATTGACTTCGTACACATAATATTTTAGAATTTGCCTAAAGGGGAACTGTTTCCTTGCAGCGAAGCTAAAAAGCCAGAAAATATACCAAGAAACCGTTATAAAACTACTTTTCCATGTAGGTATACTCTATGTCTAATTGTATTAATTGAATTTCTTCTAATCGAAAAAGTGTATGCACACTTAGCAAATGTCCGTTATATCAATAAACCTGTGTTCACAGATGATCACTCGAGAGTCATCCTGCAGTGCAGTTCACCGAAAGAATCGAACTACATCAATGCAAACTACCTGGAGGTATCATTTTGTATTCATTTACATAAACCTATCTGATGTATATTCTATAAGGAGGATAAACATTGTCAGTCTGTTTTCCTTGTTCCTTTCACATATATCACAATTATTAACAAGGTTAACAATAATGTCTTGCAATAGAAAATTAAAACATGATTTTAAATTGCTTGCAGAATGTAGACAGAGAAAAGGTTTACATAGCTACACAAGGTTTTTTTTTTATTGCATTCCAGTTTGTTTTAATTCCAATTTCAAAATTTGAAAATAGAGTACTGTATTGCGTTGTGTTAATGTTGTGTAAACTTTCTTGTGTAGGTCCTAAGCCTGCAACAGTTCCAGATTTCTGGAGAATGATTTGGCAGGAAAACACAACAAAGATTGTTAACGTCACTAATCTGAAGGAGGGTCCTAAAGTATGAAAATTAGTTTTATTTCACATACTTTCTTACACTTATCACAAGCAAAGATAAATATACTAGTATAATATTCTTCGGTAGCTTTACTTTGTAACGATACATGTAATTAAAACAACAGGAAATGTGATGACTGTGTTTTCTATTGCAGATCAAATGTGACAAGTATTGGCCAGACAAAGGTCATTCTTTCAAAAAAGGAGAAATAAAAATCCAAAATCTTGAAGAAACAATATACGCAAATTACATTATTAGAAAACTTAAATTAACTTCAAAATCGGTAAGAGCCAATGTTTAAATAAGTAATCGCTTAAGATATTATACAAATTCTTTACAGATTTCTTAAGATAAAAGTTAACTCGTTAAAAAAAGACCGCATTATCTCCTTTTGGAGGTTTTATTGGGTTCTTCTGGTTCTATTTTCATGCACTTTTTGATAAATAAAATTGTTAGATGTAGAGTATTTAAATAGTGTTTTATGAACTGCACTTTAGTATCTTAAGACAATTTGAAACGAATACGAATTTGTCACATTAACGTAACTAGAACAGCGAAATAAGAGTAGTGTACATGTTCCATTACACTGAGTGGCCTGATCATGACGTTCCGGAAGCTCTGAACTTGGTGCTCTTTCATCGTCACGTGATGCGGACATCACATTCGCAGACTAAGGCTCCGATCATAGTTCACTGCAGGTAAAGCTGTGTTTAAATAAATGTTCCTAGAAATATTCCTTGAAATTGCTATAACCCTTTATTATAATATTCTGAAGAATAATAAAAAATTACATTTAAGTAAACGTATTTTTTTCTGCAATGAGAACATAAAATGACCATTATAGTGCCGGAATAGGGAGAACGGGGACATATATTGCACTTGATGCCCTGTATCGTCACGGTATGAAGTCTGGCAAGATCAATATCCCAGAATACGTTAAAAGTATGAGAAAAGACAGAATGAATATGATTCAAAGTCATGTAAGTGTCCAGCATGTTCATAAAATTCTTCTATCACCTGCATATGGTGTTTACGTCTCCCAAGTATTCGACACTCAAGAGCATGCTCTATGTACAATAACTTTTCTAAACCAAGATAGGTTTCTGACAGATAAGTTGATTTTACACTTTTATATTTCAAAAAGTTTGTTTAAAGTCAGCATTTAGTAAATTCCATGGTCGTTATAATGACCCTGTTAGCAAATATACTAGTAACCCATCATTGGGTTGTACTTTAGCTGAAGTGTTTATACCAGGCCTTTGTTTTTATACTAAAGGACAAGATAGACTAAGACCCTTTTTTGGCCCCTGGTTTGGGGTGTCTTTTAGAATGATGCAACAGTTTATCAATAGAAACCTGTTGCTACCCCTGCCACAAAATGAGTATTTGTTCTAAGTTATGGGTTACACGGAGGTCACAGGAAGGTCAGAAAATATGTCAATTTCAGAAATTTTCTCATTTTTATGCAAATTTTCATCAATTTTACAGTACATTTTGTTTCAGAAAACATAGAGCACAAGTTTGCCTATCTACCAAATTGATATATTTCATACACTAGTATCAGATGCATCTTATGTATAAAAATCTCAGATAGGCAAGCTTGTGCTCTATGTTTCCCGAAGTGAAAAGTATCTCAAATTTGATGAAATTTCACCAGAATTGAGGAAATTCGGAAAAATGTCCTACTCCTGCAACCTCTTGTGGCCTGCGTGTAAGCCTTGAATCAAAATTAGTACTGGTTTTAAAACAAGCATCATTTTAAGTTCTTAACTACAAACTATCACAATTTTAACTGTGTTCTGATTTTTACATCAAATAAGGGGCTAGAATGGGCCTTTAAGATACCTTGTCCTTTGACAAAATACAGAATGTTCCATCTACCCAATAAATATATACGGTTAATGGCGGATGTGACTGGTCGACAGGGGATGTTTACTTCTCCTAGGCACCTGTTCCCACCTCTGAAATTTCAAGGGTCCGCGTTTTATGCGTTGTTCAAAGATTTGTATTTTTATTGATTTTTTGAGATCGGTTACTGTTTGTTATCTTTCCTATTTTTCATTTTAATTGTTCTTTGTTTAATATTTTTGGCTTTGATATGCTTAAACCTGTTAAAACTATCAGAGTTTTTGACCATTGATCATAAAATTGCCCCACGTTAACTTCATCTCCAAAAAATGTTCTGACTATATGGATTTTTTTTTTTTTTTTTTTTTTTTTTTTTTTTTTTTTTTTTTTTTACATATTTTTATATTTCATAAGTTTCTGTATTTTTTAAATATATATTTATATTTAGCATCTTTTAATGTTGTACAAAGGTAAATGTCCATATATCTTATTTTTGACCTTTGATTCAATGTATGCTTTAAAACTTATCTTTGAGATTTGCTGTAAGCATGTGCATAAATGCTGGAAAAAAAATCAAATTCACTTACCAACATTAACTTTCACTCCCTTTTGTCCATTTCCTTTCCATTTATTAATGATTAATTAATTTGCACGTTTGAATGCATTTGTGGCGGTCAGACAGGTTCGGTCTCCAGTGGTCAGATAGATCAGTTGGTATGTCTCCATATCTAGTACTAGACTAATGATTCAGGGGTCCCGGGTTCGAATCCTGGACTGATCCGTCACATTTTCCTCTTTCCTGTTACATATTAAAATATTCGATATTCATTATGTGAAATAGAAATAATATTTCTTTAAAAAATCTTTCATCATCATGAAACAAATATTCTCTGCAGTGTAAATAAATATTCCTTTATATATATATTCCTAAATATATTTGTGAAAGGAGCAATACAAAATGGTGTATGAGGCTTTGCACGAAGCTTTCCGGGCAAATCACAACTTAGTTCTTAGGGATAGATTTGTGGATAAATATGGCGATATCAAGAGCGACGCAGCAGAATCTACAAATCAACTATTGACAGAATTTAAGGTACTGTTATTTTAAAAGAAAAATCATGGAAATGAAAATTCAAACAATCAAGTAAACAAACGACCTAAAAATGTTTAGAAATGCACGATAGAGCATATGAGAAGTTTTTTTACTGCTCATTTCTTATCTAACATAAATCATTACTAGATATTGAAGGACATTATGCCAGTGTACAAGGACACTGATTTCAGGACAGGTAAAGAGAATTTGGACAAGAATTTCACACAAGATGTTTTGCCAGGTTTGTACTGTATTCACTTCAAATTATGAAATCAATGTTTTGTTTCTAATAAAACTGGTTTTTATTGGTAGTTAAAATATCACAGTGAACTTTTCTTTTCGCAGTGGACAAATATCTTTGTCACCTTACCTACGTCAAAGGACAAAGTAATTACTACAACGCTGTTTTACTACAGGCAAGATCCAAGTTCTAATTTCTTACATGTACATAGTGATGACAAAAGTGACTGTTCAATAGAACCGATTGCATGTATACCCTTATAACAAATTCTAATTACAATGCTTCAAACATTTTATGATATTTAACCGACGAATCGATGTTAAATGCACCAGTAAAACAGTTTTGAGTCATACACTGTAACAGTAATACTTGTTAATTTAATTTGTAAAGTATATAAAAGTGTCCAAAATAAATTCGCCTTAAGCTTTTTAGCTCACCTGAGCTGAAAGCTCAAGTGAGCTTTTCTGATCACCCATTGTCCGTCGTCCGTCCGTCCGTCTGTCCGTCTGTCCGTCTGTCCGTCCGTCCGTCTGTAAACTTTTCACATTTTCAACTTCTTCTCAAGAACCACTGGGCCAATTTTAACCAAAGTTGGTACAAAGCATCCTTGGGTAAAGGGGAGCTTAAATTGTTAAAATGAAGGGCCAAGCCCCTTTCCAAGGGGAGATAATCAAGAAAAGACAAAAATAGGATGAGGTCATTAAAAAATCTTCTTCTCAAGAACCACAGGGCCAGAAAAGCTGAAAGTTATGTGGAACCTTCCTGAGGTAGTGTAGATTTTAAATTGTTCAAACCATGGCCCCCAGGGGTAGGGTGGGGCCACAATAGGGGGTCAAATTTTTACATGAGAATGTGTCAGAAAAACACTTTTTCTTGAAAGCCAGTGGGCCAAAATTGATGAAACTTCTCTGAAAATTTTTTGACATTGGTGAAGATTCAAAATTTTCTGACATATCCCCCCTTTGAGATTAGTGTGGCCACATTAGGGTATCAAGATCATAAAATTTACATATGACAATAACAGTATTAAAATCTTCCTCAGATGTGTAACAAAGCATTTGATGTCAGTAAACTGGAGTGTTGTATTTAAGTTGTATGTGGTGTTTTTTTATGTCTTTATGCCAAAACAACATTAGGCTCAAAACACAGGTTGTGATACCCCCCCCCCTTTTTTTTTTTGCTGACCATGGTGTTGTGATTGTTTATACCTGTAATTGTTTATACTTTTAAAATTACATTATTAAATGTCGATGAATATTTTCTTTTTGAAAGACTGCTGTATATTTTTAGTCACACTGTTGTTTTTTCATAGGCTTTAGATTTTTGTCGGATCGGGTTCGGTATTCCGAATATCACTATATCCGATATCAGAACGAGGCTCTTTGTTCTTCATAGCCACGCTGTGGTGGCGAAATACAGAAACTTGTTACGAAGACTTGTAGAGAACACCTGTCAGCCAGTTTGTCTTTATTTAAAATACCTGATTTTTTGGTTCATTTGTAGAGGTAATATTTTAAAACATGCATAAAATATCGAAGAGATTCAATGTTGGAGATGCGATGTTTTCATTCGCTCTTTTGGGTTGACTTAACATTTTGAAGCCTTTTAAATTTATTATGAATTTAACATCATTCTGCAATTAGTATCGCCGATTAAGCGGACGATTTTATAAAAGAAGATATTCATCTTAACGTCGTGTGTGTGCAGATGCCTATATATTCACAAAGCTGTCAAAAAAAATTATGCACAATAGAAACTCGCATTGTGAATTGGGTCTACCGTCAGTACCGAACTGTTGATTTAGGGTGTGACGAAACGATTTAGAATACAAGTGTTTTTCATAAAATTAGATATCTTTATTGATGAATAATAATCGAAATGTACATGTTGAGGAGAAAAAAAATAATCAGATGAATAAGAAAAGTATGGTGCGATAAATGTAGGAATGCAGTCAGTATTATGGAATCCAGCACATTTGAAGTAACATGCCACAGTCTTCTGCTGAACAATAAATTAAAAAAAACTTGTTATGGTGTTGTTGTGTTGTATTGTTGCTTGATTATGATGTTATATTGTGACATTTGAATACAGGGTTGTCAAAAAACTGGGAAATGCTCATATTTCCCAGGACGATGGGAAATACTGGTAATTACCGGGATTTACTGGTATTTCCTGGGAAATACTGGGAAATAAGAATTAGCTACAGATTCCATTCATATTGACATGTAGTACACCTTATTGCCTAAGATATCTACCTGGTATCACTGTCCCTGATAAAAAATTTCTGGTTTCCAAGTAAATCATTTTATATAATCATAACACAGTATATTCATATACAAGTCATGAGTGTCATTTGTTTCGTGCTTGAGTCAGATGTAGTCTATAAAGGTGCATGAAATGAACCCAAAGATCCCAATTGGGTTTTTATGTAGCTAAAGAAGGGTCTTAGAAAATTCTTAAAAGGTAACTATCTCTCAAAACAGGAGCACAAAACTGTCAAGAGCAATTTGTTAAAACAACATGTTTGTTTGTAATAACTAGTGTTTATAGAAAGATTTTTTTGTTCTTGGGTTAATAATTAATATTAAAACTTAATAATTTTACAAAACTGAAAAGAAACTTGAATTGGAAAACTTCAGTTTTATACAGCCAGGGAAGTGTTTCAGAATGCTTTATACTGTGAGCCAGGGAAGTGTTTCAGAATGCTTATGGTAATGGGATCTGGAGTAGTGATACATTCTGAAAATGTTAAATAGCAATTTTGACATATTTCATATTATTCATCTTCTGTTTTTATGTTTATTTTTAAATTTTGTATAAGATTGAATGAATAAGAGAAATTAAAAAAAAACTTTGATACCTTTAAGTTTCCCAGTATTTCCCAATACATGTGTTTCCCAATTTAGAGAGAATTTGTAGTATTTCCTGGGACGGGAAATACCAGTATTTACCACCGGTAATTCCCACCAGTGGTATTTCCCGGCCAACACCGTTTGAATATCTTGATTGGGCCAAGCAAAAAAATGTTTGTTTACTGTTGCATGCTGAAATAAAATAGGATCGGTATGTAGGATTTCTATTTTATTTTATTGAATTTTTTTAATACACAAATTCACATGAATTGGTTGAAATACAAAACAGTTTTACCATTCTATGGTGCTCTACTTTTGTTAGGGCTTGCCATGTGAGTGATAGACAATATCTTTTTAGATATAATTGAACATGCCAATTTGTTTCTAATACTTTCAATTTTAAACGCTTGACCGATTAAGATGCATGTAATAGTTAAACTGAATGATGAGTAACTTATTGATTTTTACAACAAAAAAATTTGGGGCACTATTAATTATAGGTCAATCAGGTAACCGTAAACAAACATTTTTTTATTATGCCTTGGAAAGTTTATGCTTAAATTCAGTGTTTTATCCTGTGCAGAAGATTGAAAAACAGACATTATGAAACGTGTGCCAGGGGCATGTTAAGGATAAACAACACAAACAAACTTTTTTCAGAAATCAGCAATATTTTTCATAGATTTATATTCAGTTAGGTAACCTGAATAATGTTGGCCCTGTTAAGTGGGAGGATTTTGTAAGATTTTGTCACAATGTTAAAATTATGTACAAAATTTTGTATAGAATTATATAGAAACCAAAACAGTCGCATATTTTAGCATCAAAGAAAACTTACGATTTTCTTATATTTTAGAGATTTATTATTTAGGTCATTTCTATTCAAAATCAGTCAAAAAATATATATATCAATCCAGGCATCAGATTTTTGTTTGTGTTATGTATCTTTAATAGGCTCCGTTCTTTATTACACATATAACACATGTATTAAATAAACAAGGGAAAATCGAAAGTAGTACACATAAGTTTTCACAAGTTGTTTTTTGACTGTTTACAAATTGTGTGCTACTTTCGATTCTATTATATGATTTAAAGAGAACAGCATGGATAAGATGTCCCTGTGCCCAGAGTAACCAAACCCAATGGTGCTCTCCCCCATGAACTGAAGTCACGATGTATGGTCAAAAGGTTAAGCAAGACCTCTACTATGACTTTTATTGGGACATTATAGATTAATCTGCACCAAATGATCAGTCAACACAAAATGTGCACATTGGAAAAAATAAAAAATATGAAATAAAATCCAACCGCCCGCCTGCCCGCCTCGATTTTTCAGAAAAATTGGATGAGAATCTAGGAATTTTTTTAAAATGGCCTTACTGCTTAAGACTGTAATCTCTATTTGACCTGAAATATTTATTGCTTTGAAAAAAAAATACCCATGATCAAACATCCCATGGTTAAAGCAATAATTTAATGGGGAAGAAAATCAACTGCACTGAATTTTTGAATACATTTTTAAATTTTCAATTGTGCAGTAATGATTATGCCCCCGCTCCAAAGGAGGGGGATATAATGTTTTATCCTTGTGTGTCTGTCTGTCCGAAACAAATTTTTGTTGCAGTTTCTTCAGCAACTACTCATTGCAGATGCTTGAAATCTTGGCACACTTTTTGTTTTGGCATGTCAAATGGTGGGATTCAGCGGGGGTATTACTAGTAAGAATAATCTAACTGCATCTTAGGACAGGCCCTCACCACAGTTAGAATGCCTCACATATACTCGCAATATAGCAAAACATTGCAGAATCACTCCGAAATGATTTTGAAGAATAGAAAAGGATTTGCCCTGAAAATAGCTAAAAATTAATTATAACAAACCTTTTTGAGGTTGTGCATGACTTTTAGCCTAAAAAAAATAATCCATGTAAAGACGAAAATTCAACTCATTTTCTCATCATTTTTTCTCGCTTCAAATTTACTCGCCATGTCGAAATTTGGAACTCTGGGTTGTTCATAGAGTATGTAGTTTTTTCTTTGCTACATTGCCAATATACGGAACACATTCTATCTTTAATATATCTGTAGGAATTTATCATTTTAACGATAGAGCAAATCTATCTAGGGTATTACTAGTGAGCATTCACTCACAGACATATTGGTGATTTTTTTTTAAATTTCCAGATATTTCCATCATAATCAAAGCTTTATATACACAGGTGTGCTTCAGAATCTGATCTGCTCATCTATTAACAGTTTAAAGTTGAAAGATTTTGCATGTGTTAAGTAGGTCCATCCCTTAGTCAGGAACAGTAACCCTATTA